TCTCTTTGTTCGACTGACGTATTTTTTTTCTGCCATATTAGTTTAGTTGTCGCGGTGATAAGGGAAAGAATGCACTAACTCTTTGTCCACGCACGAATAATTTATATTTTCGCTTTTCCTTTCATTGAGTAGTTTTATTTTGTCCTCGTGATTTTTTCCACACATTTAAACATTTTCTTTTCCTCCCACACACACACACACACACACACACACAGATATACAGAGAGAGAGAGAGAGAGAGAGAGAGAGAGAGAGAGAGATTTAAAATACAGTGTAACCCGGATATAAGAGAAACCCGGATATAAGAGAGATAGTCTCTGGTCCCAAATTAGAGCCTGTGTTAATGTATATAAAATAGACCAAACCCGGATATAAGAGAAACCCGGATATAAGAAACTCCTTCTCCGGTCCCGATCTCAGAGAGAGAGAGAGAGAGAGAGAGAGAGAGAGAGGGGGGGTCTTATATATTATATAGAAAAAACGAATCAAACGAAATTCAATTTTTGAAGAATTTTCTAAAAGTCCACATTTTGTTGATAATTTTAAACGGATAGAGTGTCATCAGCGGTAGTATTGATGCAACCAGCAGCAGTTGCCTACTTACATCAAATACACACACACACACGCACAGCTGTCTACGATGTATTTATACGTTTGCAGTATTTCTGTTTATATTTCCTTCAGCATGAAAAAAAAAACAACAAAAAAACAAGCTCAACAATAGTAATAATGATTATATATACATATTACTTCAAACGTTATAACGTCTGCAATAACAAAAATATATACATATATATTACTTCAAGCGTTATTGTAAGGTTTAAAGTAATTATGATGTTGGGTTAGAAAATACGTATATATATATATATATATATATATATATATATATATATATATATGCGTGTGTGTATAATATATGTAAAACAGTACTACAGTACTTTATTGTTACTGTCAACCGCGATTAAAAGTTTCATGTGGGCGCAAAGATGATAATGTTACTGTTGCACTATCCCCAAGCCGTAAAAGTAATATAATTCTTATAAAAGGATTGTGTCTTAGTAAGCACCTTTACGTCAACATGAAACTTTTAGTCGGGACCGGCAGTAACGTTTAAGTACTGTTTTTCATATATTTTATATTTGCTGTATTTTTGTATATATTTTTTATACATTACATTGAACACTTTAACCATAGTGTCTACAAATTTTTTATATGATCTATCTATCTATCTATCTATCTATCTATCTATTCTGTCTGAATTTCTTGAGGAGTATCATTATTTATATGTGGACTATTGTCATCATCTTTGTTGTTGTTATCATCAATTTCGGCCGTAGACCCCACTGGGTTTTATTAGGTGTATATCAATCCGTGTACTCTACAGGGAGTTCCGAACTGTAACCTTTATTTAATCTACGAGGTGTGTATGTGTGGGGGGTGGGTGGTGTGGAGGGGTCAGATTGTTTTCCTTCCACTGCCAATGTCTACCGATATCTTATCTAGTTCTTATTTATTATACTGCACAGTTATTGTTCGCTCTGTTTCCATTGAGTCCAAGAATACACTGCCCAGCACAGGGATTGAACTCAGAATTACTACGTCAATTACTATGTCAGCAAATCCACGAACCAACGCTTTAATCAACTAGTCTATTATCTGTGCGATTTTAAAAATGGGCGTTTGTTATTTCTTTTTAGAGGATCCTTAGATCAAGAATTCTTTTTCAAGTTATTTATTAGTATATAATGAATAAGATAAAGAAAAATTGAAACTATATGGAGGAGAAATTGAAAATCATAGAATTCAAGAACCTGAATCGATTAATTACCAAGCGGAATGAAATTAGCAATTAACGGATTTTGAATCCAGAATTATGTCTTCGTCCTATAAACATTAACTTAGTGGATACACGTGTTTGAGTGGATCTTGTGGTTTATTTATAAACAGTGACATTAACGCCTACCAGCATAGATTATCGAAAGTCTTTAAATGTAAATCTCGACAGGAATCGAATGCACATTACCCTTTTCTTTGAGAGAAATCTAGCTTAGTTGACGCAGAAAAAAGGGAAAGTTCGATTCCGACCAAGGGATACATTTTCTTTAATAAGACTTTCGATCATCTAAGCCAGTACATGTTAATTCCACTGTTTGTAAATAAATAAGGATATTGATATGTCCCGGAAAGGGACATATTTGTTCGAAGTAGCAAAGTGGTTGTTGACTACTGTAACCAGGTAGAACAATCTAGCAGGTAACCGTAATGGACTGGTCCTCGTCGTAGTGGAAGGCAATAGGCATAGGCAATAGGCGAAGACAATAGGCGTAGTCCATGTACCTCCACATCAGTCTGTATTTATGGCTGACACCAGCCAATCATATTGCTCTGGTGGGGGGAACCCAGGTGTATGCATATTCATTACATCAGATATCTATTAAAATTCGTGTGCCCACTGAAATAAAAATAGTAACAACACACACACACACACACACACACACACACACACACACACACACACACACTCGTGTACCCACTAAAATAATAAAGCTGTCAAAATACAAGGACCTTGAAATTGAAATTTCAAAAATGTGGCACATGGGAACATCAACAATCCCTGTTGTAGTTGGAGCCCTCGGATTGGTTGAAAAAAGTTCCAGTAGACTAATTGGAGGGATTCCTGGAAGCCCATGAAATACAAAAATCTGTTCTCACGAGTACAGCCCACACCTTACGAAGAGCTTTATTTATGTAAAATGTGTGTGTGTGTGTGTTTTAATTGGTCAGTGGAAAATGTCATGATGCCATTTCTAATCTTAGGTCTCTGGGCGCAACTCGGAAAGAAATGTGTACACAGCAGAAATCAAAGGAAATAAAATAATAATAATAATAATACAGCCCACACCTTACAAAGGTCTTTATCTATGTAATCTTTTTTTTTTTTTTGTCAGTGGAAAGTGTCATGACGCCATTTCTAACCTTAGGTCCCTGGGCGGGACCCGGGAAGAAATGTGTAAACGCCAGAAATCAAAGAAAATAAAAAAAATAATAATAATAATAATAATAATACACACATATATATATATATATATGTATATATACATATGAATAAAAACTATTCTTTGCCAACGCGTTTCGTCCTCTGAGGGACTTTATCAAAGCAAATGTAAGGATTTTATTTTGCAACAAATATTTATAAACATAAAAAAAATATCGTTATGTGTTCAAAATTTTTAAATTTAAGAACGCTCATGAATATTCTTCAAGCTGTGAAAGTCTAGGTAAACTAGAAAGGTTTCTAAGGGAGGTAAGTTAATGTTTAATAAACAAAAGTGAGTAAATGCTGGCTTTTTTCTTATTTGTTGATATATATGCTTATATTTTTTATTAATCCAATTATTATTTATTATTTTATTTTAATTTGATAAATTATTTAAGTATTTATTTATTTTGAATAATAATAAGTTTACATTTAACCATTTTCTGTTAATTTTTAAATATATTTAAGGTCATCTATGTTGGATGGGAAAGAAGTATATCTTTTAAGAAAGGAGATATTTGAAAAAATAGCAGATTTACATTCGATAACGTCACTCTCAAGAACTTTAATAACTGTAAGGAATAGTTTTTTCCTCTTGTCTTTATTCGTATTTGTTTTTTTACAGGTATATTTTCTTATACCTAAATATCAGCTTTCTTTATATTTGAAACATTCAAAAAACTTAATGATTAAATCTGATTGTTGAGATCAATGATTAAAAATGCTTTCAAGCGAATGAATCCTCTGGGTCTTAAAGAAGACAATCCTTCTTCAAATCTTAAAGGCTGATATGCTACAGAATCACAAAGAAGACTTCCAGCACTTGCAACAACGAAAATGGATAGCACGTGTAACTAGAAGGGAAAATAATGATATACTCAAGATGCTGAATTTCCACATTACCATAAACAAAAGTTTAGGAAGGAAATTCTGTCAGTACTAGACATAATGATAACAGTGATTTGAGAAAGCTATTTTCCCTGAAAAGATTTTATAAGTTTCGACCGATAGTAACGCTAACTTTTCGATCAATGATTTACGAATGTTTTCTGTATGAAAACGGTTATTCTCATTATTAATATTATCAACCCTTGTTTAGAAATCTATTCTCGCTAACTATAACGCCTCAGTAGACAATGGATGGTAATAGTAAGTTAATCTCGTTAACCAGTACGCGATTTGGGGCATTTAGTTTCTCAAGACTAAACCACAATCTAAATAAATATAATATCATCAAGTTATTATTCATACTCTCTCTTTTTCTTTCCATCTTTCTTTCTCAGAAACATACATAAATGCGTGTGTCTATATGTGTGTGTCTGAAGATTTGAATGAAGAACTTCAATACAGCAGTCTTCGGCCGTCTATATTTCAAAATCCCCATTTTAAAGTAAATTGCCCCAATTCCATTTAAATGGACCCTTGCAAGGCGTGACGTGCGTGGCTTTATAATGTGAAAGTTAATGGACCTTGTCTATTCGCCAAGTTTTCGTTGATTAAGCTTCAGAAGTCTTGGAAGGTAGGATTTTCTAATAACCAATTCTCATGACGATTAGCATTTGGTATCTTCACTGTCCACTTTCGACCACGGACTGGCACAGCAGGCCCGAGAAAAGCTCTAGGAAATGGTTTGAGATGAAAGAGTATGACTGAAAGAATGTAATATTGCCAATAGATGGAAAGTATTGTCATGTGTATGTATATCAAGTTAAGCATCTTCTGTTTTCTCTGTGTAATGAGATGACTGTGAGTGTCTGTATGTGCGATAGTATGTATGCAGACTGCCAGACTGCATTATATATATATATATATATATTTATATATATATATATATATATATATATATATATATATATATATATATATATATATATATATATATATATATATATATATATATATATATATATATATATATATATATATATATGTGTGTGTGTTTGTTTGTTTGTTTGTTTGTTTTTGCAGCGATATCACGTTGAAACACTGGTTTTAGTACGATCACCGAAGTTAAGCAAAGTTGAGCCTGGTCAGTACCTAGATGAGTGATCATTTGTGAATACCTGATCCAGTAAACTTGGATGTGCAGGTGATGCAATGTATAATGGTTAGGAACTGGAAATCCGAGAGCCGAGTTCCAATTGCAGTCGGGTTCATTATATTCAAATATGCACAAATTCCCTTGGGAAAAGTATGAATCCACCTCTTCTCCCACAAGCTATGGGTTAATTAGTAGGACTTGTACTAATAAATCATTATTATCTAAAAAAATATTCTTATAAACTAAAAGTATTTTCTCGCTTTAAATAACACACAACACACACACACACACACACACACACACATATATATATATATATATATATATATATATATATATATATATATATATATATATATATATACACCTGATATTTTAAATTTATTTTAAACAGTGTGAATTGCGTCTACTCGTCTTGGCCTGCTCACTTGAGAAACTCAAAGAAAAATGTGACCTCCAGCAGGGCTTGAACCTGCGTCTCACAGTTTGACCTGGCGTGCTTTAGACTAGTAGATGTAATTCACACTGTTAAATAAAAGGGAATAAAAAACAGGGCGTCTCTACAAAAATAACGTTAATAATAATAATAATAATAATAATAATAAAAAATATATATATATATATATATATGCAAGTTAATGTTGCATTATGGGTAGAAGGATTATTGTATTATTCTAACGGTTATTGGGTGGGTGGGTGGTGTTTCAAATTATTCCAGAGACAACGGAGTAGAAATAATTGTGGATCTTAATGAAGTTATTTGTTGATAATTTATAGTGTTTTTTGTTAACTTTTTTACGCATTATTGATTACTTTATTATTTGTTATTGATTATTATTATTATTACGTTTACATGTGTTTATGTGTTGATTCGTAATTTGTTCAATTGTATACTATTTACTTAATTTGTTTAGTTATTGATTTAGATGTTTTGTCTATTTTCTTTATTTTATTTTGCTTATTTATTTATTTTTACTTATTATTTTTTTCCGTATCCGTTTTTAGTTTTCGACTTTTAAGTAACGCACTAAAAATGTTTTCGTGTCTGTATTTTGAGATGAGTTCTAAATGTTTATTTAGTAATTTGTGTTGGTCTGGAAATAGCACTTTTTTCCTCCATACAGTGTTGGCAGTTTTGAGATTTATTGTGATAGGCTGATGGTGTTTTCTTTATTTTCCATGATAATTTTGGTGCGGTTTGTTTTTGGTTTTAATTTCCGATATATGCTTAGAAAGCATTGTGTTGTTCGTGTATTTACGATTTGTAGAGGATGTTTTGTGTACGTAGTTTCTTTGTTTTCAGGTTCATTCAGTTACTTCTATGTATACTATTTTTAGTTATCTGCTGATTTTACAGTGGCTTGGTATATGACATTGTTTTGCAAGCAATTGCCGTTGAAAGGAGATTAATCTATTGCTCTGCTTTGGTTTGATTTGTGCAAGCGGTTTTTTGGTTGTTTTTCTAATGTGTCTATTATTATTTGTGCCATGTTCCAGTCATATCAGATTTTTTATTGTGTTTTTGCTGAATATCTTGTATTTGATGGGAGGAAGTGTTTGTGTATGAGTTTAATGAATATTTTTCTACGTTTGTTTTTATGTTTTAGTTATACGGCGGGTTGAACCATATTTGATTTTTGTACTGTGTGGTGTGTATCTGAGTGTTGCTGAAAATCTATCTTTTAGCGCTGTTTCATGATCTTTCTTGGCTTCGTTGAAGATGGTTTCACTAGAAGAATTGTCAAATAACCCGCGGTTAATTGATTGTATAATCTGCTTGGTTATTGATGGTGAGTAGTTAGAAGATGCGTAAAGTGGTTTGTCGTTAGGCTTCCCATGTGTTTGACATGTACCGTTTCTTATATTGAACGAGGCATCAAAGAAATCGATTTCTTTTAGGTTAGTTTTTCTGTCAATGTCGAATCCAGTATTATTGAAAAATCTTATGATTATTTTTTCTGGTTCGTAAACCTAATGTGAAAAGCTTAGGTAGAAATTCCTGCTTGTGGAAAATCTGAATATTCCAATACGACAACGATTCCAAGCGTAAGCCAAAAGATGGAAAAGGAAAAGGTCGATAGTCTGAAATCAATTGATTGAATCTGTATTTAAAAAAAAAACTGCGGCGTGAATTAAAATGAAATTCCGACAACGAATCGGAATTGAAAAAGTTAAGCATGGAAGAATTTAATGAAATTTCATTCGAAAGTTGGCAAAAGTATTTGGATAACAAAATAATTAAGAAAAGTAATTAAACAAAACGTATTCACAATAAACTACTTGTAGCTTATATAATATACTTATTCAGTTATGTGCCATGCAAGATACACGCTTGAGGCAGATTTTTCCCGCAGTAGGTTGCCGTTTCTTTCTGCGAAAGAAATGGCAACCTACTGCGGGAAAAATCTGCCTCATCAGTCATGTATCGAAAGATACATGATCGTCTAAGCGTGTATCACGCATGGCACTATACTTATTGGTTGTGGAATGTTTTTATTTGTGTGTGTGCGTGCGTGTGTGTGTGTGTGTTTCAAATATTCTTACATAATTCTTTAAAGAAAAGACAGTTTTATTAAAGATTTTATGTTTATCATTACCTTTGTTATAAATTTAGTTGTAATTTGGACATAGGAGAGCAAGTATGAAGAACGTTATTGGAAAAAACATTCAATTTTACCTGCCCTTAGTACACACACACACACACTCTCTCTCTCTCTCTCTCTCTCTCTCTCTCTCTCACACACACACACACAAGCATACATATGTTCGTTTGTAAGGAGTTCAATAAATGGTTTGTTGGAGTTTTGGAGAAATTGTCACTTGCCGCTTCCCGCCAAAGAAAAAGACAGCAAAGTACATCTTTACAAATAATGACAGTAAAAACGCACTCACAAATGAATTCTTACAGCATTTTCCGTGTAAACGTGTGTCTTTTACATAGCTACTTTAGAAAAAGGTAATTTTCATAATTTATTAATTGTAGAATTATTAAAAAGATTGTCTGAACGTCGAGCTTTTTTTGTCATTATTGAAATCTAATTTGATTGAGACAACGTTGTCTGGATTGAATATGAATCCGCAATAATTTTTCATACGCATAAGAACAGTTATTATATAATTTTACTGCATATACATAGATTTTTTACTTTCGTGGATACACATATTTGAGTAGACACTCCATTTATTTTAAAACAGTATTTTATTTCATCTATCGGCCTGAACAGTCGAAGAATCTGATTAAAGAAAAATGGGATCTCCAGCAGTTTTCGAATCTGCGTCCTCCTTTGTATGAGATCCCGTCGTTAGATACGACATGCTTTAACGAACTCAGCTGTGAAGAGCGTCGTGACCAATCGAGTTTCTATTCTGCCTTTAAGCACAATCCTCTCGTTCTAGATTCTCGAAAGTTCATAACTGCTCAGTTTCGTAGCCGAAACTTAAACAAAGCAATTTCTAAAAAAAAATAATGGATTTTTATTCAATAATCCGAACATATTTTTTATTACTTTTTCTTTTTTTTTTTTTACTGGATAACCATATTTGAGTAAACGCTCCGTTTCGTTTATTTTTTTAAACAGTATTTTATTTCGTATGGTATCTACCGAAATGAAACACTCGAAAAATTTTATTTATTTAGTTATATATATATATATATATATATATATATATATATATATATATATATATATATATATATATATATATATATATATATATATATATATATATATATATATATATATATATATATATATATATGAGGAGGCACGGGTGGAGCAGTGGATAGCGGCTTGGATTTCGAATCCAAGTCGAATCCATTACATTTCACTTACGTGCTAATACCCTTGGGAAAGATATGTATCCTCTTCATCTCCCTCCAGCTATGGGTAAAATAGCAGGACAGACTGGGTTCTATAGCCTTGGTTGGCAACTGGTCTAGGAGAAGGACAACTCTGAATTCAAAACCTGCGGAGGGTCGTTTGGGAACCTTGTGGCATGCATTCGGTGCACCAGGTTATCTGTATTCGTCCCTCCAAAAAGTGTGGCTGGTCCTGCACGAGGACTTCACCACTATAATCAAATCTCATGTACCGGTGTCGGGATGTCGGTTTCCTGGGGACTTCGGCCTGACCCTCATACGTCGAACGCGACGGGAGAGTCGATTATATATGTATATATATATATGGATAGATAGGTAGACAGATTAGATAATGTAGGAAGACAAAGGAAAACTTATTAGATAATATATAGATATATGTTTACATTTATATTTAGATAATATACATATTTACGCATGCACATACGCACTTACATACAAGCTGTTATATATATATATACGATTGTGTTTGTGTGTGTATGTGTGTGTATGTGTGTGTGAGAGAGAGAGAGAGAGGGATAGAGAGAAGAGAGAGAGAAGAGAGAGAGAGAGAGAATTTTGAAAACTGTTCATAGGAAGTAGTGTCGTAGTATTGAATTGGTCCACTCAGATTCTGTCGGATTTTCATATAAATTTAAATTACACGCGCACACACACATATACACACCTATATATATATATATGAAAATTTCTCCGATTTAATCGGTAGAGAAGACAATATTTATGAATAAAAATGACAATAGGAAAACTGGTAATTGCTGACGCGTTTCGTCCAATGTGGACTTTATCAAAGCAAAATACGAAAATGAAATTAAATGAACAAAGTAACTAATAAAAACAAAAACAGAATGTACCTAGCAACTGGAATGTAGAAAAACGCTATTTTCATATTTTTAACTGAAAAATAACGTCAGAGATTGTCACGTGTGGAGAATATTGTCATTATATCTGTGTTGATGTATTCAGCCATTTTCTTTCGATTTTATGAATCTGTTGTGCATATTTGTTTGTAAGAGTATTAATTTTGTTAAGAAAGGTGAAATGGGGAAAAAGCCTGGGCGTAAATTAATATTTGGATAATTTTCTATGGCGGCACTCTCCAGAATTTTCCTTCTGAGTGAGTTATTTTCTTTTTTTATGAGTGTAGC